CGCTTAGACTTTGTTGCTTTTTCAATTTTTCCTAATAAACAATCGTGGTACAAAGCTCAATAAAAATATTAAAAATAAATTAATTAAATAAATACAAAACTAAATATAATAAGATATAAAATATGAAAGAATATAAAAAATACTGGTTTTACTTTCTTAAACATTATAATATTTTTATGTAGAGGCACTTAACATGATTCGCAGCTTCATCGATGTTTGTTTCCTTGACGACTTTTAATTAAAGGAAAATTATAAGTCGTCTGAAAAGCAAGTTTCAGTGAAAAGTCATACATGTACTTACTTTTGATTTCATTAAGTAGTGCTCCTGGCTTAGGCTTGCCCTTGATAGGTAACTGATGAAATTGCCTATTTATCAAGTCCCACATTGCAGCGCAAGGCGCAGCGTAGGCGATGTTAAAAACATTGTATGCTTAAAAGCATAGTATATCCATAGCTTTAATATTTAATTTTGTATTGTTTTTTTTTATCCAGCAAATCCCTTTTTAAAACGTTTAAAATTATATTATACGTCTCACAGCAGCCAACAAGTAATTCCGCACTGACACGCGATACATAAAAATATGATGAAATATTAAACTTCCGGTAATTGAGTATATTGTACGAAAATATTCGTATGTTGTACGAATTTTAAAACATGTTTCTGCATTAGTACTTTATACGAAAGTATTAACTAAATTGTACGAATACTGAGATGTAGATTTCGTATATTTTAACACCATACGTAAATATTACGAATGCCTTCCAACAATATACAAAATTATTCGTACAGAGATTTGTTGAGTGCTTTACGAATGTGTTTCGTAAAATAAACGTACTGAAAAAATGCCTTACGAAAGTCCTTTCGTTATATTTACGTATGGTTCGTAAAATCTTGTTTCGTTGTAAAAAATGTGTTCGTACTATGAACGAAAGTTTCGTACGTTGTACAAAAACCAAGACTACGAAAGTTTTTCGTAGCACTTTTACGAAATTTTATTTTCAGAGTATCATGAGGTCAACAACAAGCCTACAAAATATTCGTATTTTATTTTGATTGTAAGAGCCCGCGCATCGACCTCCAAGTGACACACAGCACACTAGTCGAATAAGACCAATTCTTGTTAAAAAGACCCGGCGAACTTCGTCCTGCCAAAATTTTTATTTTTTATTGAAACTTTTTAATCCCACATTTTCACCAACAATTCACGTTTACGATTTTCATTAGCACATTCATCTGCTAAGATTATGGTTTGGTGGTCATTTGCCGCTTTAAAAAACCTAAAGAAAGTGTTATATCCGTGAAGAAGTTCTTGTAATTCTCCAACTGTGCAGCATTTCATAGCACGGTTATTCGAAATAAATTAGAAAAATTTTTTCCTCTTCACTTCCTGGCGGAAACAATGACCTGGTTCTATAGTGAATGTCCTAGAAGCTTTACAGTATAGTTGGTGGCAATTTCAAAATGGGTGCGAATCATTGTTCTACAGAAATGCAATATACATATACTTATGTCAGACGAAATATGGTAACATAGGAGAGTTCGATATACTCAATGGTGCAACAGGTCGATATAATCTGACCTTCACGGCACCTTTTATCCNTACATAAAAATATGATGAAATATTAAACTTCCGGTAATTGAGTATATTGTACGAAAATATTCGTATGTTGTACGAATTTTAAAACATGTTTCTGCATTAGTACTTTATACGAAAGTATTAACTAAATTGTACGAATACTGAGATGTAGATTTCGTATATTTTAACACCATACGTAAATATTACGAATGCCTTCCAACAATATACAAAATTATTCGTACAGAGATTTGTTGAGTGCTTTACGAATGTGTTTCGTAAAATAAACGTACTGAAAAAATGCCTTACGAAAGTCCTTTCGTTATATTTACGTATGGTTCGTAAAATCCTGTTTCGTTGTAAAAAATGTGTTCGTACTATGAACGAAAGTTTCGTACGTTGTACAAAAACCAAGACTACGAAAGTTTTTCGTAGCACTTTTACGAAATTTTATTTTCAGAGTATCATGAGGTCAACAACAAGCCTACAAAATATTCGTATTTTATTTTGATTGTAAGAGCCCGCGCATCGACCTCCAAGTGACACACAGCACACTAGTCGAATAAGACCAATTCTTGTTAAAAAGACCCGGCGAACTTCGTCCTGCCAAAATTTTTATTTTTTATTGAAACTTTTTAATCCCACATTTTCACCAACAATTCACGTTTACGATTTTCATTAGCACATTCATCTGCTAAGATTATGGTTTGGTGGTCATTTGCCGCTTTAAAAAACCTAAAGAAAGTGTTATATCCGTGAAGAAGTTCTTGTAATTCTCCAACTGTGCAGCATTTCATAGCACGGTTATTCGAAATAAATTAGAAAAATTTTTTCCTCTTCACTTCCTGGCGGAAACAATGACCTGGTTCTATAGTGAATGTCCTAGAAGCTTTACAGTATAGTTGGTGGCAATTTCAAAATGGGTGCGAATCATTGTTCTACAGAAATGCAATATACATATACTTATGTCAGACGAAATATGGTAACATAGGAGAGTTCGATATACTCAATGGTGCAACAGGTCGATATAATCTGACCTTCACGGCACCTTTTATCCCTTGGCTATTTTTAGTAATAACTCGACTCCAGCGCCACTTGGCGGCACGTTTTTGTATTGCTCTTAACATTACCAATACGNCTTTACAGTATAGTTGGTGGCAATTTCAAAATGGGTGCGAATCATTGTTCAGCGCCAACTCGCGGATTAAATTGTGAAACTTAACCATCCAGAGACCAACTCAAACACACACAAAAAATTTCGTTCTNTGAGGTCAACAACAAGCCTACAAAATATTCGTATTTTATTTTGATTGTAAGAGCCCGCGCATCGACCTCCAAGTGACACACAGCACACTAGTCGAATAAGACCAATTCTTGTTAAAAAGACCCGGCGAACTTCGTCCTGCCAAAATTTTTATTTTTTATTGAAACTTTTTAATCCCACATTTTCACCAACAATTCACGTTTACGATTTTCATTAGCACATTCATCTGCTAAGATTATGGTTTGGTGGTCATTTGCCGCTTTAAAAAACCTAAAGAAAGTGTTATATCCGTGAAGAAGTTCTTGTAATTCTCCAACTGTGCAGCATTTCATAGCACGGTT